TGAGCTCCATGGGCTGGCTGCTGTTTTAAGGGGATGCTGTAGCTTCTTTTCCTCTTCCCATTCCCCTGCTCCCTACATTTTTCTGTTCACCCTCCCTTTGCAAGCTCAGCCTAGGCTCTGAGCAGACCGAGCCCACTCCATCCCTCAGTTGGGCAAAGCGAGGAAACCGCCGGGCACCAGAATGTCCTGATTTCCTTTATTTTATTTTTTTCCCCTCATTGCATGAAAAAGTATTAATGGAGCTGACAGTTGAGTTTTGCTTTCAAGTGGATTCCTTTACTATTTTCAGTTTTACAAAGGGTGGGAAGGTCTGTTTGTCCCCCCCGGGGGAGGTGGCTGGGAGTCAGCCCCTGTGCCAGCAGGGCTGGGGGGGCACAGGGGGTGCCCGTGGGGTTGGCTCGCTCTGTCCTCCCCCCAGCCCTGCTGGGGCGATGTGGCAGCTGCTGCCTCAGGGGTGCTGGGCTGTGCAGCTCGGGGGGTCTCCTTACCCCCTTGCTCCTCGTTTAGGACGTGGGATGTTTTGCTGTAAACCCAGAGCACAGCCCCAAAGTGGAGCCGCTTGGAAGCCTCCTGCTTGGAAGTTCCCCTTGGAAGGGGCTTGGAAGTGGCCCCTCCGGCCCTGAGTGGTGCCTGCATGGTCTCTCCATCACCCACCACCGCACCGGGATGTGCCCAAGCAGGGATGTCCCCCGCGGGGACACGGTTGGTGTTTGTGCCGGAGGATGAGTATCGTGTGGATGCTGGTGCAGCTCCATTTCCACCTGCTTTTGGCTCCTGCCCTGGGGAAGGAGAGATGCACACCTCCTGGGGAGCAAAGCTCACGATGCCTCTGATGCCAGCCGGGTGCAAACCCCTCCGGCTCCGCTGAGGTTTGTTCCTGGCCTAGCGATTCTGAAGCCGCCCTCCCACCGCCCGGGGGCTCACCCCTCCATCCCCGGCTGACGCTGCGTCACATTCCTGCCCCGCTCTCCACCAGGACCGTCCCTGCGGTAGCAGGAGGTGACAGCTGGACATGGAGGATGTTCTCAGAGGTGTCCCATGATGCAGGAGACAAGACGGTGGCCCAGCGGGCTCTGAATCGTCCCCACGTGGCAGGGACAGGCTGCCCAGCCAAGCCACGCTGGTCCTTCGCCATGCAGCCCTGCTCCCCGGTTTCGGGACCGTGTGCTGGTGGCATTTGCTGATGCCCATAAAAATCCACGCCTCCACATCCCCAAGGAGACCGACCTTGTGTCCATGTGCAATATTTCTGTCTTTTCTGCAGTTCCTGCCCCTGAGGTGCCTGTGGTTCCTTGCAGGGGGCTCCTGGAGGGTGTCACCTCGCTCCCTCCCATGGAAACTCCTTTTCCTTGATGCTTTGTGGCCAAAATGCAACTCCCCTGGGTAGTTCTTTGCAGTGCCTCCAACTTCTCTAACGCTCGTCTGCCAGACCGGTCCCTTCCCGGTGCCAATCAATATTCCCAATGAATGTGACGCTACTGTAATCGCCTCTGCTGATAAATGATGGACCCTGCAACATTTGACATAATTCCCAGGCAAAGGCAAACCTCATTTGCTCTGATGCTGTCTCCTGAAAGGCTTTTAATTTTCGGAGGACCTGCCATGATTTGAGCTCCGTCAGTACTCGCTGATGTCTCACCAGCCCTGTAAGGGCAGCCCCCATCACGGGTGGGGTGAGGGACCAACATCGGCTTGGGAGAGCTTCAGACCCCAGAAATCCCAGAATTCAGTGTCCGGTGCTGCTGTCATCGCCAGCGCCCTCGTGCTGCCGCTGATGCTGGTGGGCTCAGGGATGGAGCCCAATGCCTCCTCCTCCCTCCTTCCTTGGTAAATATTTGCACATTAACAAAAACAAAAAAAGGAGCAAAAAGGAGAAGAGTTTGTTGCCTGTGTTCAGAAGCTCTGCGGTGGGTGATGAGGACCGTGTTGGTTTGGTGGTGAGGGTGAGTTTTCCCTGGGCAGAGGCCCCTCCTGCAGAGTCGGGGCTGGCTCTTGTCCTGGGTCCCCACGTGGGATCTGTCCTGCCCCGCTCTTGGCATGCTGAGCGTCCCTGAGCAAACCATTTTGGCCCCAGTATTCCCTCACCCTGGCTGCAGATTTGGGACTCTGGCTTGGATGCTTCTGGTCTCCCTTTGGGGAGCATCGAGGCCCTCCCGACTCCTGACCATCACCAGGATCTCCAGCTTCTCAGTACCGCTGAAGATAAGGCTTGAAGCATCTCGCGCTTGGAAATGTTGGCCTTAACCTCCTCGTGCCTCAGTTTCCCCATCAGTGAGCCAT